GGGTACACCCTCACCTGCACTCACGGGACCCGTGCAAGCAAAGGGTGGTTGCCCTCATCCAGCAGATATCCAAACAGTCGGCGGCACCCAAAAAGTGGATATCTCTGGCTCCCCTCAATCAAATGCACCCTAAAAAGAGAGTAATGGGTTCTTTCCCCTGCCATGCTAAAAACATTGCTGCATGAGCATAATATTTCCTCCAAAGTTTTAAGCTTTGATTGCAACAATAGAAGTTCATCATAGCTAAATAGTGTAGCATTTGTATTTCCAAATTTTATTATCAACTAAAGAAAGCTGATGTTTTTCAGGAGCTCAAGCTTTGTCGGCTAGTTGTGAATCTATTAGCGTACATAGCTTCTAGTGGCAAATTGGGATATGAAGTGCTTCTTGGTTCAGTGACTGCCCACGGTGCTAGTTTTCTTGAGTTGACCATGGAAGTCCTTGCTTCACAGATGGAATGCAAAGTTGATTTTTCAACCGAGGTACATGAGCTATTGAATGAAAGGTATTCTTCAAACTTCTCCATCCTGAACTGAGCATTTTTTTCCCCTCAGTTTGTTGGATCTAAGCATGAATGTACTCCCTCCGTTCCAAATTACTCGTCGCAGAAATGGATGTATCTAGAACTAAAATACATCTAGATACATCCATACCTACGACAAGTAATACGGAACGGAGGGAGTATGTGCTATTTACTGGCAACTTTGAAGCTACTCCCTCTGTCCCATAATATAAGATGTTATTCTTGAGTTGACCATCAACTTTGAAGCTACTCCCTTTGTTCCCATCATATCATTCGCCATATTGGATGTAATAACATCTTATATTATGGGACGGAAGGAGTACCTTTTTGTTCATTCAGTATTTTTAAAATGTTGTAAAATAGTTGCACAAATAATAGATCAGGAGGCTAACTTATTGTCCTAAGATACATTACTATAAGGAATAATTCATTGAAGTTTGGATGCATAGTTGTATTTCTTTGTTAGGGAGCTTGAGCCCACCTGAAGATTAGTTGTATATTGCTTTGCCCAACTGTTCAAGCACATAAAGTGTGGGCTGTATGGCAAATCTGAACAGTTGTTGCAAGATAATAATCTGTAATTTTATCATAGATTACATGCTTTTGTGTTCTTTTTACAACGTAAACATGAGAGTTTCCTGTGCTTCCCTATTTGCATTTGATGCAAATAATAATTTTTCAACGCAGGTATTTGCTGATGAGAGAAGTTCTGATCCTTCTAAACCGACTAGCCTCGCACGCCATGTTTTCAAAGCCAACCCTGGAGGTGCTGATGGGGAGCAAGCGGTGCGCGGGGTTGACAATCGACATCGCGATCCGGCTGCCCCAGAGGAGCAAGTACCCCTTGAGGCAGCTAAACCCTCAGATGGCGAATGATCTCGCCGATTTGGCCCAGAAGTTCCGCTCGCGGGTGTATGGTTTCCTGGAGGAGCAACAGCATTCGACAGCTGAGCGTTGCGATACAGGCGCCTCGGGCAAGCCTCCGAGAGTTCCAAGATAGCTGGGTGTGGACAACACTGTAACATTTGAATCAGCTGGGGCGTATATATATCTCTAGGTTAGTAGAGATCTCTTGTTTTGCGCTAACCGTACTAGGGTCTTTCTGTTTGGGTTGGCTGGGGTGAGTAAATAACTTTTGGCTGGTGTGATGTACAGAAGGTAGGGTGTGCGATATAACTCACCATTTTGGGGGCAACGAAAGCCTGCTAAACAAGGGGAATGTATTTGCAAAATTGTACTTCTCACCGCAAACAATCATCTCTTTTCTGTATTGAAAACGAATTGGCAGCTAAGTTTTGCAAAATGGCCAATTCTGCTGATTTAACAAGTAACTACATTTCCCTTGCAATATTTTTTTTCTTTACATTTGATCACGTGAGGAAGACTTTGACAAAAGATTTTCCTTCCTTGTAAGGACAATGTAGCTTTCATCGGCTGTTGCATCATATCATTATAGCTTTGAAAGAGGAATAACTATGCTTGAGCGTTCAGTAACAGCGTTGACACGACAGCCACTAAAACATATTCGCCAGGTACTACACTTCATTCGGTAAGATTTAGGAAGTGGAGTGAGTTAATATTTGGTACCGAAGACCTCCAACCTTAAATTTCTTAGCTTAGGACTCAGTTATTATCATAGTTAAAAGCTTAAGAAATTCAGATAGAGGAACTACAGACATATACATCAGCTATTACAGATGCTATCAGCCACATAACACATGTGGTAAGCAATCCAAACAATTGGAAAAAAAATACTATAAAGTTAACAACTCCCAGCAATACGAGAGCACAATGATAAGAAAAACCAAAATTTGTCGATGAATAAACATGTTAGTTCTTCCTCATTCTTCAAGGCATGCTTGTGTAATATTTTTTTTCTTTTCCCAACTCAGCCTGACAGGCAGCTCCCATAAGTGAGAAACGTCATCAAAGAGGGCTTTGCAAGTGGTCAATGTGAATGCCAAATTTTTTATAAAAAAAACGAAGGTCCACGAAACGAATTGCAGTGGCAAACGGCTAATCATGCCTCAATAGTGGTGGTTTTAGGATATTCACTTCATTTTGAACGCCAAATTGCACCTTGGGTTCCTCGATGAACATTGATGGTTTTAGGGTCCAACGGTGCCCCATCTTGTCGGTTGCCGGCCCAAGTAGGCCGGTCTAAGGCCCCCTAGGTCGGTTCCACCCTGGGCCATCGGTCCTGCCCATGGACCCTGTAGAAGGAAGACTCGAGAAGGCTTGCCGTTGAGGACTCCCCTCCACCAAAGTAGTTGACTAGGTTGTGTAACCCTAGGGACCCCGGTATCTTATATAAGCCGGGGCCGGGCTAGTTGATAGAACACATTAGAATCTCTCGGTATTACCTGTACTTTGTACACCCCAATCGCAAGATACACGAGCAGGAGTAGAGTTTTACCTCGTAAGGAGGGCATGAACTTGGGTAAATCTGTCTCATGTTCCTCCTCCGACCCAATCGCCAGGAATCAGCTCCGACAAACATTAATTCCCTCGAGACCAACATGATCCTAGTGTAGTCTGGAAACACAATCCTCACAGTATGTAGACGTCATCTTCTTTCATGAACTTCTCACGTTGGAAGCAGGTCTGCTTACTCGACGCTCTGACCAGGTATAACCCTTGAATCCGACAAACATGCAATGTGGCAGCATAGTTATGGCGTCCCGGTGTCGAAGAAACGCCTCATCATCATCTGGCTCCAGTTGACCGGAAGCTAAGGTTGGTTGTTCCGACCGCGACGTTGGGCACGTGGACAAAGTAGTTGTTGTCACTAGGGTATAGGGGGAGGGTAAAGGTCAACATGCGCTAATGTTCATCATACCACCCAAACTGCAAGAAGCCCTGCTTACGGTGAGGAGGGAAGCAAGCGACTCTAGGCATGTGCAAAAAGTGTGCTTGCACAAGGCTTCCAATGCCCTAGGCCAGGGCCCGATCCAGGTACATACAGTGAATATTTAATACATATACAATGAATATTGAATATTGGACAGGCACTTATCAATGCAATGTAGCAAGCGACCTAATATCCTTAAACAATAAACAAGCAATGGTCATGATGATAGGAATGAAGAAACATGATCTCTATATCAAAAGAGAATAGAGACAAGTCTCCCACTGCACCATGAGAAGTTCCAAGACAAACAATTGGGACGAACGCTACAAACTTCAAGAGCTCCTATGTTGAGAGTCGAGCGAGAGAAGCAGATCCTAGCTCAATCCCCAATTTTCCCAGGCGGCGATGCTAGCCAAAGGAGATAAGGGAGAGGAGCACAGAGGAATTATATATATATTAGGTCTAGGTTGAGTCATGCCCCTGTAGCATCCGGCGCTATGATGAGGTGGAGTACGTCGCCACCATGTTCGTGGAGCGGCTGATCACTGGCAATGGACGCAGTCCTGGTTACATTGTTGTGCCAATTCTGTGTGAGGATTGGGTCGCCGAAAGCTCCTAGAATAAGCTTGTCCGATCCCCTAATCTGGAGGTCCTCCAATTCCTCTGCCTGTAAGGTTGCCATGGCGGCGAAGAAGGAAGATAGGTAAGATGGAGATCCACTTCGGGTTCGAACTCATCATTGATGGATACCTTGGATGGGCTATGGATCCCGCTATTGTGGTCGACGTTGGGCGTTGTTGTCATATCCTTTGACCGAATGGCGGTCTTTATTCTTCCTCTTGACCAAGAGCTAGATGGGAGGCATTGTGGCTTCATCCTGGAGTTCATGGTTTGGCGCCATCGAGGGCTCGCCGCCCAAAGTGGTGTCATCCCCGATGAAGAGGAGTCAAGAATTCAAGATTCAGGCAGAAGATGCCAGGGACTCGATTGCTTTCTCATAAATTTTATGGGGTTCTCTTCGTAATAGTTAGGACCAATAAGTGATTTCCTTTTTGTTTAGGGTCCTATTGAAAAACTCTATGCACCACTTCTTTCTAGTCAATGTAGTTTATGGGTCCTTCTGGACCCTGAGTTTGTTCCAAATAAAACTCACCATGAGAAGAGCTGAGGCATCCTGAGCATCGACTGGCAAGCTCTAGTACGTACCTAGGCCCAATTAAAGTGTGATGTATATAGATATGTCCATTGCTTTCCCCACATGCACAAAACACGCCCCCTCTCGACGGTTATATCACCAGGAGGCCAGAACCGTAGAAACGGTCACACATTTGAGCTTTGAGCTTCTCCCACCTAGCTTGAGATTTTTGTCTCTACTCTTGGTTTCTTTATTTAGGAGTGTGAGTCATCATGTGTGACGCCCCGGGACCGTTGCGCGAGGTGTCTTTCAGTTATTCGCTGTTGTTGCTTTGTCTTTTGTTTGCGTGTTTTGCTTTTCATATTATGTCATCATGTGCATCGCATTTGCATACATGTTCGTCTCATGCATCCGATCATTTTTTCCCGTTGTCCGTTTTGCAATCCGACACTCCTACGTCCTCCGGCGCCCTCTTTTGTCTCTTTTCGTGAGCAGGTGTTAAACTTTCTCGAAATGGACCGAGATTTGCCAAGCGGCCTTGGTACACTACCGGTAGACCGCCTGTCAAGTTTCGTGCCATTTGGAGTTCGTTTGATACTCTAACGGTTAACCGGGGAACCGTAAAGGCCTCGTGTGTGTTGCAGTCCAACACCCCTCCAAAACGGTCCAATAACCCATCCAAACCCTCTCCATCCTCTCGGTCATTCGATCACGATCGCGTGGCCGAAAAACGCTCCTTATTTGGACTCTCTTAGCTTCCTCTACCTATATATATGTTCTCTCCCCCGAAAATTTCGCGGATGAACCCTAACCTCCTCCTCCTCCGCGTGTCCGGACGCGTCTGCGTCCGCGCCGCGTCGGACATGTCCGCACCGCCCCTCAGCGAATCGCAGGCCGCCACTTGTCCTCCCCGCCGCCAATCGCCGCCGGCCCGCTCGGGCCGAGGCAGGCCCGCCCGGCCCACGCATCGCCGCCGCCCGCCCACGTGTGCGCCGCCATCCTCGCCCGCCGCCGCCTCGCC